TCAAGTCTGGAATAAACAGGCCCTAAATCCAAAATATAAAAAGCAACCAACCTTTTACTGCAGGGGAAATAGTGATCTCGTTGTCTGCCAAATTCACATACACATCATAGAGGTCTGTTCTGCTGGTCACCTCAGAATCTGTAAATCCAGCAATGTAACCTGGAGAGCAGGATTTTGGCAAGATTAAGATCTTCATAACCAAAACAAAACCAAGACATTGTGGAAGAATCGCAGTCCTAAAGTCTGTTCCAAGAATACTTGGCCCAATACTCAATAAAACCAAGAGGTTACTCTCTCGACATCAGTCACTTGTGTTGTGTACACCAGCATGCTTCACTTCTGATGAGCTTAAAAATCAGCTTCCAAAATTCCCTTGATCATGGACGGACCCCTTACACAACATGCGATACAGAAGGGTTATCAATTTGAAATTTTGAACTCTTTCCATCTCGCTACTAAAATTCTTCATCTGCAAATGAAAACCCACTGAATTTCCTCTTTAAAAGAATCCCCACCCAGGAACCCCTTGTCACTAAGTCATTGCTAGATGGGAAGAGAAGAATAAAACCAGCAGATTTTCTTATTTATAGCGTGCCAGGTGAGGAAACTCAGAGCAGCACCAGGAACCCCTTGTCACTAAGTCAGTGCTAGATGGGAACAGAAGAATAAAACCAGCAGATTTTCCTTATTTATAGCATGCCAGGTGAGGAAACTCAGAGCAGCTTTTCTTGGTGGGACATGTTTAGTGAGGTGAAATAAGCACAGTTGCTAGTGCAGGGCAACTACTGAAGATGAGTAGTCGTCTTGCTCATTATTCCATACAGAGAAGCCTCTTAATTGCCACATTATGTGTCACCTTAACCTTTGCATAAACCAAGGGCCTCTTCCTGGATGATGCGTGAAGCGCTACGCATACACAGCAACAAGTCACACAGCTCCAACTCCTACATAGCTGGTAAAGTCTCCCTATGACTAAGGGCCAGAAACTCCACTGGCAGCAGTCAGAATAAAGTCTGGACCTTCAGAGTTAGGAACCAAAAACCAACCAACCAACCCCTAAAAGTGAAGTTACTAACTACATGTAGAAGTTGGAAAACAAGTGGCTAATCTGAAGTGAGATGCTTCTGCAGAACGGCAGGACTTGCAGTCTCTCCGATCACAACGTCAACGAAGTCTCTAGACTGCTTTGCATCTGCAATTAGGGGTAGGCTGATGGGGATCTACCCAGATTAACCAGTTATCTTCTAACATATTTGTTTAGTTGATCTGCTTTTTCTAAATAACATGTGGTTTAACTTTCAGCAGTAGCACCAGTAGAGAAATAACCACGTTTACCTCAAACAGCACCGCTGTAAGACATTGCAGGGATAAAGAACAGAAACAAAATTTAACTTCAGTTTCAATTAGGAAGTTATCACTTACCTGTGCAGGCTTTTAAGGCTTCCACTTCCTCCTCATTTAGATGTACGTACGAATGAAGAATTGACCAGTCCTGTCGATGCCACACTAAAGCAGGCAAAGTCCTAGGGAAATGAGATCGGCACGTGACACACAGTGGATTTTTACCTATACTAATTAAAGTTTCACAGTATGAAAAGCATGTTGTAAGAAACAATTAGCACGACCAGATCTCATCTGGCGTGGATACACACGAACTGCAGAGATTTCTACTATCAGCGCAAGCAGAGTTTATCACTCCTACAGTTAAACTCCTCTGACTTGACGAACACATGGCTAAAGCCTTAAGAGGTACTTGGCAGGATTTCAATAAACAGGTTTAATAAAGGTATTTTTTCCCTAAAATATGGGCATTTCTCTCAATGAAGGTGCAAGACTTGCTGGACTTTTGGGGGTGAGTGGGGAGGCAGGGATTGACAAAGTACCTGGTAAACTCCTGGACAGCTTCTATTCTAGGATGGTACACTACAATTCTCTTCTTCAGCATCAGTGCTGTATACAAGATAACCGTTTCCATTCCAAACTGGGACACTATATCTAGAAAGGAAGGGGGAGGTTATGTTACAGAAGATACACATGCTGATGGTATCATTTGGTTTTGGAAGAAGCTTAGTCACGGCACAGATGATGCTGTTAATGCCATTTACTTGAAACACACATGAAAACTGGATTGTATTTTATATTGTACAAAAAAACCCAAAAGGCAGAATAGAGCCTTCTGGTATTCACCTTTGATCGACCCAGCAAGATAAGCCTTCCGAGCATCAAAATCTTTGCTGAGGAAAGATCCATTTTCCTCGCTTTGGCAGATGCCCTTCGTAAGGACTGCAATGTAACTCTCCATCATTTTAACTGGACTGCCATGCTTGAAGTAGATTCTGCGTGGAAAAAAAGACAAAAGAAGAGAAAAAAAATAAATGACAGTATCACAAATAGCATTATTATTGGCAACAATTCTTATTTTGGACACTTGGTTGAGGTTTTATATACCGAACTAGAATTCTTTCAACATGCACACAAACACTCATCTGTCCACCAGAATGAGAAACTACCTCATATTTTTATTTGAGTTTCCTATCTTATGAAAGAATCAACATTTACCAACACAGCACAAAGGTATAAGCACGTGTCCAGACCAAGGATTCTTTGCAGATTGCAAGGCACCTGCTTTATGAAAAAGCACCTACAACATTAACTCCTGCTCTCATAAGAGAAGTTCTTAATTTATCATCCAAGTATCGTTAAGCATTCTTCTGCACTCTTAAATGATAAAGAAAAATATAAACAGGTGTTCTTCAAACTCATTTAAAAAAAATATCAACCAACCCCCTGCACTTATAGCTGTATTGCAGACAGCAGGGAGACACCAAAACCTATTTTACAGGCTGAGCTACTTCAGGAATAGTGCTGAAACTCTCAACGACCTGCTTCCCATATTAGCTGTGGTACAGAGCTGTGTCATATTTGAGACTCAGTTATGTTTAGAGGAATCCATCCTGGATTTGAAAATAAAGTATTACCTCCATAAATCAGCATTAATGTGACCCGCAGCCGGTCTAAGTATCTCATGTGATACATTAACCTCACAAATGCAGCCAATTAGCTGCAAAATCTCAGTGAATACTCCTGGTATGAAACACCGGGACCCAACCTATCTGGGAACTGAAGAAAAAACAAAGAAAGATGCAGAGGCAGACCATTAGAACGAGGACAAGAGAAGGAGAAGATGGCAATCGGTTGAAAGAAGGGAAAAGACAGAGCCTCAGACCTGGAGAAGAAGAGGGCCCTCATTTTCCTAGAGCAAAAGCAAAAATGGCCCTGGGTGCTGTGCCTAGTTCAGAGGAGCTGTAGGAAGCGCTGTAGAGGTGGTGTGGAGGGATACAAGTTGTCCACCACACACATAGGGACCTTTGGCTGCAGAGCACTGACCTCTTCACAAACATTCATACTTTTAAAATATATCTCAGAGAAAATGAGCGTGCATGGGGTGATGGTGTGTCTGGAGAAGACATGTTAAAACCTACTGGGTGCCTGACACTCACAATAAGAAGCCCAAATCAAGGATTTATATAATCTGATCCAGTTTGTAGGACCGTTTCCAGCAGATTGTTAGACCAGATGCAAACACAACACAATGAAATATAATGGATTTGCCATGGCAAGATCTAAACACACACACAGCAGTACCTCAAAACAGCTTTGGTACAGACCTACACAGTATCCTACTGAAGGCTGCGTATTTCTCCGGGTTGAAGTCTTTGGCCGTCAGAACAATGGAGAAGTGGGTCACCTGGGTGAGATGCATAGAGAAATGCACAGCTCAGTTAGTGAGCCCACGTGAACAGGCTTTTCACATTATTGAACTTACTGCAGTACTCTGACAAGGTATTTCGACTAAAAACCATGTGAGCGGCAGCAGCAGATCCAAGTTACTAATTGCAGAAAAGGCCTGGTTAATGAATTCCTGGAGTGACTCATTTTCACTGAGTCAGATCCAGTGCACAGTATCTTTTGCTTAATCTACTCTGTAAGAGCTGCTTGCCTTTCAAAGATGCTCAAAGGGCTGAAGCACCTCTGCTATGGGGACAGGCTGAGAGAGTTGGGCTTGTTCAGCCTGGAGAACAGAAGACTCCGGGGAGACCTTATTGCAGCCTTCCAGT